AAAAAAAAAAAAAAAATTATTGAGTACCAAGGATTGCTAGGTTTGGGGAAAACTCAGTCAATAATAACAACAATTTGCCAGGCATTCTGCTAAACTCTTTACATAAGTGAACTCAATCCTCATTACAACTCTATGAGATGAATTGTACGATTATCCCCATTTTACTGATAAAGAAAACAAGGCGCAAAGAAATTAAAGGAATTGGCCGAGATCACAGAGCTAGAAAGTGGTAGAAAACAGCTGCCAATCAGCCACTATGACCATCTTGTCCTTTTCTGAAAAAGCAAAAGTGATTCAAAGATGAAAATGAGACATCTTCCTAAGTAATGTCAGTGTGTCTCATTTCCAGAATTTGAAAAGGGCATAAGCAAGGCATTCTTGATGGAGATGATAGAAATTTAGAAACTTCTAAAAGGGACTTAATAAAAAAAGCCTTCCTGGGACCTACAGTCTGACCTGAGAGTTTTATAAGCAGTAGAATACAACACTTAACTCTTCAACTATTTTTTTTTTTTAACAATTCTTTTGCCAGGGCTAGGGTTTGAACCCACCACCTCTAGCATATGGGGCGGGCACCCTACTCCTTTGAGCCACAGGCACTGCCCAACTCTTTAATGATTTTAAAGGCCCACTTAGCCTGCATGCAGGGCGGTTTACCAGCAACCTCAGGAAAGAAAACTGCAGCCTCACAATACAGCTCCATAAGACTCTCAAAGCCATGAGGACCCTGAAGAAAGTCTAGCTGTGCACTTTACATTGGCCCAATTCATGACTGCTCCGAAAAAGAGCTGAATTTATACAAGCACTCAGTTCACAAAGAACCATTATTCAGAAATTCTGTATGTCAAAAGGCATCATAGAATGTTTACATGCCACTAATTCCCTGAACAAGAAAAATCACCAACTGGTTATAACTTCTGCCATGGCATAGGAATCAGGGCACTCACTGTCGCACAGGCATTGTCTGAACGCTCCGGATGTCCTGGTTCTCTGGGAGAGCTGAATATGCATCTTCTCTTTGTTAGGGCTGTGTTCTGCGTCACCACCTCCACTCTGTGGCTTTCACCTTTCTTCTTCCCCTAACCAGATCAACCTCGGCATGTCCAAATGTTCCCCTGGAGTATCCAGAAGTAGGTCTGAGCAGCCAAAGATAACTACTAAGTCTCCTACTAGAAAATAGCTTGGGAAGGGGAGTCAAGAAGAGTGAAATAAGCTTTCAGTCAAGGATTTTCTCTTTAGTTTGCCCACATTTTTTTCTTTGTGGTGTCATCGTGCAAGCTGTTACACAAAACATAAAAATCACCCGTTTACTACTTTGTATATGTTCTGGGATGTCATTTAAGCATTTTTTAGATAATTATTAATTGCCCTTTAAATCATCTAAAATATCTTTACAGACGATTTTTTAATTTTTATTATTATTTTTGTTTACTATGAATAGGTTCTTCAAGCAATTTACATCTTTTTTTTTTTTTTCCCAGT